GTAAGTACGAGAGAGTTTGTTTCTTCCTTCTGCAGGAGGATAGGCAGGTGCTGCACGTAAGGCCACGAGGAACAAAGCTTAGTATTTTGCCATTTGAAAATCGCCCCAGAAAGAGACGCGTCTTGCTAAATAACATGCTCATATTTACACATGCACACGCACACACACGCACACGCACACACACACACACACGCACACGCACACATACACACACACACACACACACGCGCGCGCGCTCATAAGCGGAAAGCAATGACACGACAGAGAAAGAAGAGGTAGAAGAGAGAGGGAAGAAGAAGCGCTACAGATAGATAGAGGATGCTAAAGAGGACAAAAAGAGAGAGACAGAGAGCAAGAGAGGCATATAAAGTAAAAGAAAGCGGGGTAGTAGCGAACACATGAAAAAAATGCAACAGGAGAGAGAGAGAGAGAGAGAGAGAGAGAGAGAGAGAGAGAGAGAGAGAGAGAGAGAGAGAGAGGCTAAGAGAATGAGAGTTAGAGGAAGAGGAAGAGAGAGAAAGATAGAATGGGAGAAAGAGGAAGGGGAAGAGAGGTCACCTGGCAAATACCTGAATGGCCTTCGGTGTGCGGCGCCCACAGCTGATCCCTCTCGTACGCCCGAGATCCCGTAATGGGTCTTTTCCTCTGACATAACGCTTCATCTGATTGCTGTTTTAGATTGCAGATATGTTTCTACGCTCTCCCTCTCTCTCTCTCTCTCTCTCTCTCTCTCTCTCTCTCTCTCTCTCTCTCTCTCTCTCTCTCTCTCTTATTTTCTCTCTCTTTCTTTCTCTCTGTATATCTATCTATTTATCTATCTGTCTAGCTATCTATTCATCCATCCATCTATTTGTCTGTCTGTCTGTTTGTATGTATCAATTAATCTCCCTGTTTGTGCTTTACCTTTCTTTCTATTTATCTGTATAGCTTTCTTTTCCTCTCCTTAAATATTTAATCTGTAAATCAATAGAGAAGCAAATAAGTGTGCATATCTATAGTCATGCATGTGTGAACATTCAAATACTATGTCTAGCATCTTAAGAAAACCTCAAAATATGAAAATAATTCTGGGAATCTATTTATTTCACAAACGTAGTTCCGTCGCCCTGTAACTCGAGCTGTTTATCGAGACTTCTGCGGTTTGGAGAGAGATTCGAAACCTTAAACAAAATAACAGAAGCCATTTTCTTCAAAAGGTTAAATAAAAGCAGAAAACTCAAAATATATAAAAGGGAAGAATATAGAGACAGACAGTATTCTATGTGTATATAAAAGTAAACATACGGAATACTTGGCGTAGACTCTTGCTCGCCGTTTTTTGTTTTTGAAAATACGTCGTGTTTGTCTCGCTCTGTTTTTTTCTGCTAACATTATTGTGTTTGCTCTTATTATTGTTGTAATGATTATGCTTTTTGTTATTAGTTTTGTTGGTTTTATTATCATTAGCATTATTATCAATAACATTATCACTGTTATTATTGCTGTTATTACTATCATCATCATTGTTGCTGTTGTTACTATTTTTTATATTATTGTTATTATTACTATGACTATCATCATCATTATTATTATAATAATTATTATCATTATAATCTTTATTATGATTATTATCATTGTTATCCATAACCATTACTGATGTCACAAGGCTGTTGGAAAATCAACCTAGTTCGCTTCTTTTTCATGTGACCTTCGATCTCGTTTGCCTTTTCCGATCCAGAAGGACAGACGATAAACTAAGGCCAAAATACAGGCCACAAAATCAAATTTCTTCGTTATATTTCCGTGTGTCTGTTGCTATGATTAATAAGTTAATAATGTCTGCGATCGCCAATTTGTAATGTGGTACGATGCTTGTATGGGTTTATGAATATGTGTATTTTTATACGTACAGACTTATATACTTTTGTGTATGTGTGTGCGAGGGAGAGTGGGTGATGTGTATATATAATTTAACCCTTTCCTCTCCCCTCTCCCATCATCTCTTCTGTTTCTGTTTCTATTTTCTTCGTCATCCTCGTCTCTGCATCCCTTCGTTTTCACTGAAACTCCTGGTCTTACCCCCCCCCCCTACTCCCCTTTTTCCCTGTTAGAAAGAAAAGGACTCTCTTTCCTCTCCTCTTCCACACCCCTCGCCCCCTCCCCTCGCCCTTCCTCCTTTCGTCTACCTTCGCCTCTTCCCCTAGTCCCTCCCCTCCCCTCTCCCCTCTTCTTCTCCCCCTCCTCTCCCCCTTCCCTCCCCCTTTCCTCCCCCGCCCCCATATCATATCTCAAGACACACAATACCTGTCTCGGTCCTTCTCTCGTTCCCAAGAACAGACACTCACTTCTCTATTCTTCTTGTTGCGTCTTGTGTCGCGTCCGGGACCTTTTCTCCCTCTTCGCCCCTTCTCCCTTTTTCTCCTGTTTCTATTGTTTAATTCTATTCTGTTTCTTTCTATTTATCTGTATAGCTTTCTTTTCCTCTCCTTAAATATTTAATCTGTAAATCAATAGAGAAGCAAATAAGTGTGCATATCTATAGTCATGCATGTGTGAACATTCAAATACTATGTCTAGCATCTTAAGAAAAACTCAAAATATGAAAATAATTCTGGGAATCTATTTATTTCACAAACGTAGTTCCGTCGCCCTGTAACTCGAGCTGTTTATCGAGACTTCTGCGGTTTGGAGAGAGATTCGAAACCTTAAACAAAATAACAGAAGCCATTTTCTTCAAAAGGTTAAATAAAAGCAGAAAACTCAAAATATGAAAATAATTCTGGGAATCTATTTATTTCACAAACGTAGTTCCGTCGCCCTGTAACTCGAGCTGTTTATCGAGACTTCTGCGGTTTGGAGAGAGATTCGAAACCTTAAACAAAATAACAGAAGCCATTTTCTTCAAAAGGTTAAATAAAAGCAGAAAACTCAAAATATGAAAATAATTCTGGGAATCTATTTATTTCACAAACGTAGTTCCGTCGCCCTGTAACTCGAGCTGTTTATCGAGACTTCTGCGGTTTGGAGAGAGATTCGAAACCTTAAACAAAATAACAGAAGCCATTTTCTTCAAAAGGTTAAATATGTGTTTGCTCTTATTATTGTTGTAATGATTATGCTTTTGTTATTAGTTTTGTTGGTTTTATTATCATTAGCATTATTATCAATAACATTATCACTGTTATTATTGCTGTTATTACTATCATCATCATTGTTGCTGTTGTTACTATTTTTTATATTATTGTTATTATTACTATGACTATCATCATCATTATTATTATAATAATTATTATCATTATAATCTTTATTATGATTATTATCATTGTTATCCATAACCATTACTGATGTCACAAGGCTGTTGGAAAATCAACCTAGTTCGCTTCTTTTTCATGTGACCTTCGATCTCGTTTGCCTTTTCCGATCCAGAAGGACAGACGATAAACTAAGGCCAAAATACAGGCCACAAAATCAAATTTCTTCGTTATATTTCCGTGTGTCTGTTGCTATGATTAATAAGTTAATAATGTCTGCGATCGCCAATTTGTAATGTGGTACGATGCTTGTATGGGTTTATGAATATGTGTATTTTTATACGTACAGACTTATATACTTTTGTGTATGTGTGTGCGAGGGAGAGTGGGTGGTGTGTATATATAATTTAACCCTTTCCTCTCCCCTCTCCCATCATCTCTTCTGTTTCTGTTTCCATTTTCTTCGTCATCCTCGTCTCTGCATCCCTTCGTTTTCACTGAAACTCCTGGTCTTATCCCACCCCTACTCCACTTTTTCCCTGTTAGAAAGAAAAGGACTCTCTTTCCTCTCCTCTTCCACACCCCTCGCCCCCTCCCCTCGCCCCCTCCCCTCGCCCTTCCTCCTTTCGTCTACCTTCGCCTCTTCCCCTAGTCCCTCCCCTCCCCTCTCCCCTCTTCTTCTCCCCCTCCTCTCCCCCTCCTCTCCCCCTTCCCTCCCCCTTTCCTCCCCCGCCCCCATATCATATCTCAAGACACACAATACCTGTCTCGGTCCTTCTCTCGTTCCCAAGAACAGACACTCACTTCTCTATTCTTCTTGTTGCGTCTTGTGTCGCGTCCGGGACCTTTTCTCCCTCTTCGCCCCTTCTCCCTTTTTCTCCTGTTTCTATTGTTTAATTCTATTCTGTTTCTTTCTATTTATTTATAATTTTCTTTGCCATAATTCTCCCATTCTCTCGCATTTCTCTCTGTTTCCTATTTTGTCATTTTCTTTAGGGCTTTCGTGAAGGGAAGTAGAAGAAGACGGCCTTGCTTTTACCATGATTATTATGACCATCTTGATTATCCTTTTCTTTAGTGTCTTTATTAGTAGTATCATCATTATTATCATTACCGGTGCCGTCATATTTTTCTGATTATTCTGAAGCCTGATCTGGGATCGATTAAACCATGTCTACTTGTTATTGTACATCATAATTAGAGTGAAGTATTGATAACTACCGCATGAAGACGTTCCCTACTTCTGTAAATAAAAATCGAATAAACAAGGGTTTAAAAGATAAGGAAAACAATTGCTTACTTTAATGTATTAATCGCTGACGTAATGACATCTCCGCATTATCATTTTCAGGGCTGATCAAGATATACTTTCAAAAGGTTCTTCCTCTTGTTGTGGATGGCTTCAGTGTTCAGATTTCAGCGCTGAACGTCCGCTGAAATGGGCGTTCTGGGAAGGAGTTGGGGGGGGGGGCAGGGAGTTGTTTGCGAAATATATATAGATTTTTGTTTACTTATCTTTGCTTTTATTGTTCTTCCGGGTTATTTTAATATCATTAACTGATTATCATTTATTATTATCATTATTCATTTGTATGTCCATTTATGTTTTTTTCTAATCAAACTTACCTCTCTCTCTCTCTCTCTCTCTCTCTCTCTCTCTCTCTCCTCTCTCTCTCTCTCTCTCTCTCTCTCTCTCTCTCTCTCTCCCTCTCTTTCTCTCTCTCTCTCTCTCTCTCTCTCTCTCTCTCTCTCTCCCTCTCTTTCTCTCTC